CAGAAAGCCGTGTTCTTGCACACTGGGAACATCTTGCTTGTGAGCTCGAAGCACCTCCACATATAAAAGCACAGTGTAGAAGAACAACAAATGAAAGCCCAACAGAACTGCTGTTTGAATCTTTTAAGAGCTGGAGACACAGAGAACCTCACTGTCATTCAACTCATTGAAATACTTCGTGAATTGAAAAGGAAAGATGCTGTTGAAGTGATAGAGAATGCTATACCAGGTAAAATAAAGATATATAAACGTGGGGTCAATGCCAGGGTTACTTATCATCATCATTGGTTCATTGCCATTTAGCTGCCATTCAAAGTGTTTATCAGTCTTTCCAATCCATATTAAAAACTAACTTAAGCAGACACTTTTTTCCTCAGTATATATATCTTAACACCCTGAGTGCTGGTCACCCTATATAGCCTGCTGGGAATTAAACCTGCAACACGATATTCTGATGCTCCACCAAGTCTGAGATACACGTTTTTTCATGATGCAAAATAATGTTTCTCTGCAGCCAAATTCCTGAAGAGTATTTAGAGTGCATGCTTTCTTTAATGTTACAGCACAGAAGAGAGAGAACTCTGTGAGCAATGAAATCACTAAAAATCAAGACCTATTGGAAGAACTCGCAACAAAATTGGACAAAGAGTCCAGGGTAATAAAAAACTGGAGACATCTTGGACTAAAGCTTAAAGTTAAGAAAGAAATTCTACAAGAAATTGGAAATGGGAATTCTCCAAATGCAGTAGAAGAATTGTTTAATTATATTTACTCCACAATGCCTGGTTTGACTGTTGAGGAATTCAAGGAAAAGATGGAGAAGATAAATAGGAGGGATGTAATAGATCTTGTTATTGACATTGATTCAGGTAGGGTTTTTAAGCACTGGTTCTTGATACTGTAATACCAGAGTATATACAGTGCTTTTCATAATTCTGTGACCTGCCTGTCACTACCTTGGTCTCAGAGGTTTCTGGGTTTTTTTCAGTTAACGCCGCAAACTGAAAAAAAAAAAAGAAAAACCTCTGGGATCGGGGTATTGGCATTTTGACTTTGGTCAATCAAACTTATCACCAGACTGAGCTCATTCTGGTCATGGGAGATAAAGAAATTCTCATTTGAAAATGGCTTTTGAGAAGCAGGAATTTCTTGACAGCAATTTTTGCATGGAAATTTCTTTATCACTAGGATGAGCTTGGCCCATCATAAGTTTGATTAATAGATTAAAATGCCAGACTCCTGGAGTCATTTAGGAAGAGAATATTATGAAAAGCATAGTAAAAAATGACTGTAAAATAAATATGTGTTGTATCCTTGTCTTTTTCTCTTTCTACAGGAAAGATGAAGGAAGTAGTACCACTCCACGGTGAACTAATGTGCTCCATCTGCTATGTGCTAAACAAGAGTTCTCCAGCTCTTAGAAACTGGAGACATTTCGCTTCTGAATTAGGGATTGATTACAATACATACAAAAGCTTTGAGCCAGAGTCTCCAAAGAGTCCAACTAGTATCCTGTTGGAGTGGGCATCCTATTGCTACCAAAAACAGACCAAAGAAGGAGATTCAAAAAAATTCACAGTACAAGACTTTTGTAAGATTTTAGAAAAAATGAAGAGATATGATGTCATAGAGTTTCTTGAGGATAAATGTGGTCAAAACTTTAGACAACCAAAGCAGTTATGAACCACACCTACCACAACATTCTTTGTTGCCATGACAAAAATAGAGAAAAAAATATTGCAGAAAGTTTGAACTTCTCTTTGCAATATTTTTGTGATCTAAAGATAGTGTTGCTGCTGTTCTGCAGTAGATCTAGAATAGAGCTTCTCAAATTTATATTTAATTAATAAGAATTAAGAAAACAAAGTAAATCACTACTGGGATGGGTAAGGAAATACTGACTAATAGCTCCTCAAAACATAGATCTGCTGACCAACTATCGGTAGACTGTCGGGTATTTAAGGACCGTCTGTCGCCCAACAGTTGGTCGACTGTTGGCGACAGTTGCAGGTGGACTGTCGGGCGACAGTTGGTCGACTGTCGAGCGTTAAACTGTTGGGTGCTCAACAGTAATAGTCGACCAACTGTCGAAAGTGTCGACCAACTGTTGACGATCTGTCAACCGATAGGTCAGTTTTCATTATGGTTTGCAGTAGGCTTTGTTGAATTAAGGCAGTACGTTGTATTATCATATGACCCGTACGGCCCTGCTCGCGCGCTCTAATAAAACCATTGGAAAAAGTCACGTGATGGGGGCCGGACGGGTTGACGTAAGCGGGCCGGAAAAACCCGTCCGGCCCTGCTCGAATCCGCGCGCTTTCTTTTTCTTATTTATTTTTATTTTCGTGAGGGTCATATGATAAAATGCTTATTGACTGAGTTAGGTCGGGCCGTACGGGAAAATATTTGGCTCTCGGTCATTTGTACGGACCTCGCTGCGCTCGGTCCGTACGACATGACCTCGAGCCAAATATTTTCCCGTACGGCCCTCCCACTCAGTCAATAAGCATTTTATCATATGACCCTCACGAAAATAAAAATAATTAAGAAAAAGAAAGCGCGCGGATTCGAGCAGGGCCGGACGGGTTTTTCCGGCCCGCTTACGTCAACCCGTCCGGCCATTTCAATGTTTTGGCATGTCGTACCTTGTAACTATGTGCTGTAAGTCAATATACCGTATTTTTTAGTCCCTCTCATACGAAAACAGCTGTGTTAAAGTGGAAACTCTATGCTCTTAAAATCCAGACGTTTTCTGATTTTCATTGCAAACTTGTAGTCGCATTAATTGGTACAGAGTTGGTAGAAGTAGCGAATAAAGTTTCAGGTGAATAAATAATGRTATTTAATACTCGAATTTTTGAACTTTTGAAATCACCTTCCTGGTTGTTTGGTTGTCCTCTTTATATATTTGTTCCTGGGTATTTTGCCGTACAAGTAATGTTTGTTCGTTTGCTCAGTTTGTCGTTCGCTTATCAGATTGTTTGTTTATTTCTTTATTTGTTTGTCTGTCTGTTTGTTTGTTTGTTTGTTCTTTGTTTGTTTGACTACTTTATTTGATTTTTAAGAAATGCTCTTTATAATTTGCTGTAGACATGATAACAGAAAGTACAAATCGTGGTGGAAAAACTGTGACGGAACAGCTTTTGAACAAAATCACCAATGATGTCAAAGATGTTTGGAAATTTCTTGGGAGGCACCTTGGCATTGATGAAAGCACCATCCACTCCATAAAGATAAATAATCGTGACAATACCCGGGAACAGGCTAGGCAGATGTTTGTCAAGTGGAAGCAGAGTAACGGTCGTCGTGCAACAACAGGGGTTCTTATTAATGCACTTCGTGATGTTAGGAAATCAAATGTCGAAACATCCGTTCGAGGTTAGTGAATGACGCGAATAACATGCACATGATAAAGACCGTCATGTTGTCCCTCGTATATGTGATTGCAGTTCTTGACGCTGTTTTTCAATTTCTGTGGCTATTTTGCCTGCTTTGTCGACACGAGGGGATGAAATGAAGAAAGAGAGATAAAAGGGGCCTACCCTGGCTGTGGCAACATGCCGTAACATTAAAATGCCACCCCATAAGAATGGTTATCGTATGGGTGGGAAACATACGGTACTGACTTACAGCACGTACAGGGTACGACATGCTGTAACATTCAAATGGCTTCCCATAAGAATGGTTATCGCATGAGTGGAAAACACACGGTACTGACTTACAGAACGTACACGGTACGACATGCCGTAACATTAAAATGGCTTCCCATAAGAATGGTTATCGCATGAGTGGAAAACACACGGTACTGACTTACAGAACGTACASGGTACGACATGCCGTAACATTGAAATGGCTTCCCATAAGAATGGTTATCGTATGGGTGGGAAACACACGGTACTGACTTACAGAACGTACACGGTACGACATGCCGTTACATTGAAATGGCTTCCCATAAGAATGGTTATCGTATGGGTGGGAAACATACGGTACTGACTTACAGCACGTACACGGTACAACATGCCGTAACATTAAAA